ATTCTGAAAAGGTAGGTTGAAGACAGACTGTTAAGGGCTTTAAATATATATATATCCGGCCTCAGACACTTGACACTTAATAGCTGTGTGACTCTGGGCAAGTCATTTAACCCCAATTGCCTCACCAAAAACAAAACAAACAAACAAAAAAACCGGTTTTCAACATTCAGAACAATGGGGTCATCTTTTTTGGATTCAACATTATAGTCCTAGCTGTGTTCACAGAGAACTTAAGAAAACATATATATATATATATATATATATATATATATATATATATATATATATATGTATATGTATATATATGCTTAGGAAGAAATCCAGGAAGAAGAACAAATGGCAGGGTGGGGGGGAACAGGTAAGCACTTAGTCATGCTTTACCTGATTTGATCTTAGGAAACCTGCATATGGCTGCACAGGTTCAAATAAGCATGAAATGAAAAGTAGACAACATGGATACATGATTTTAATAAGAACAAGGATGTATCAAAGTTCCTTTGCATAGGACTCTTTTCTTTTGTTAAAACAGAGGACAGAAGATAACATTTTCCATTTTGGGGGTGGCAGGTAAAATTGAATTTATCTTTACAGGAAGCACATCTTCTACCCAACCAAGGGGATCAATGGATAAAATGCAATATACCTGGGGAGAAAGAAAGAACTACAGAAAACTACTAAAGATCCTCTGGCAACAGAAGGAAAAAATTCATTTGATATTTGGCCCTAGCAGACAAGTATTTCAAAATGAAATCTGTGGATTCCAGTCACCCTCTGACGAAATGACAATTCTAAGGATCCATTAGCAGTTTCTATATGGGTCTGAACAGAGGGCCACTCTTTCTGCCCTGATATTGCTCTTGTAAAACCTGAGTGGGGCCAGTAATCATGCTCTTAGAAATAAGAGAAAAGGCATTTTGGAAAGAAAACCTCCCCATGGTAGATGTATGAGATGCTGAGAAAAGGACTGGATGATGACTGAGTTAGTAATTATCTGGTCCTCCTTTGTATGCCCTCAGAGGTCTGACACTCTTCAAAAGCAGTGTACCTGTTAAATATGTGTAATAGGCACAAGTTTCCTGCATTTAAAAAGACTGGAGCTTCAGAAATCAGACGGTGTTGTTTTTCCCGTTGGAATGACATCTACAAAGTATCTCCAGGCTGGCAGTGAGACCTGGGAAAGACCTTAGCTTAAAAAGACCAAGGTCTCCCACTGTATCTGAGGCCATCTCCAGTCATTCTGATCTATATCTCCCCACTGGACTCTTGAAAGATATAACGAAAATGTTTATTCCCATAAATTTGGAGCAAGCAGCTAGAGAAGTAACTAAGTAAAACAGGATACAGTAGGTCTTCTCTTGTTTTCCTGACAGAAGTTAGTTAATCAGAACAAAAGTTTCCATAAAATTGAAACAACAGGTAAAAGTAACTAGGTAAAATAAGATAAAGCTGGTCTTATCTTGTTTTGCTGATAGAAGTTAGTAAGTACGACAAAGGTTAAGCTTTGCTTAGAGTGCACATGCTTACAATAGGCTTACAAATATTAGCTTCTCCATCTCCAGGAGGCACTAAGATGCCATTTTCTGAATATGGGATATATGAAGAAGGAGAAGCAACATGTTAAGGAGCAGATGTGTAATAGGCATACTGGAAAGTTGTACACTCTGGAGTCCTCAGCCAATGAGGAAGCAGAGGAGGGACTTTGCGGCCGGGATTAGAGATAAATAGTGACCTCCTGCTTTGGTACAATGTCCTAGTTCATAGGACACCCACGGTTGCAACTGTGTAATAAACTGGACTTTTAACTTCATCCCTCCTGAGCCTGAATGAGTGATTTCTCACAACCCTGATGGCTGTGGAGGAGAGAGTGAGGCTGGTGACTTTGCACAGTCCTGCCTCACTTAAATCCAATTTACTCACATGTCACAGCATCACCTTCCTGATGTTATGGTCCTCTTTGAGAAAAAGAGACAACAATGAGTCAGCCCTGTGGGGAGGCTTCCAAAGGCCTCTGGGAGTAGGAATACAGTCTACATAGAGGGTAGAATGCTGAAGAAGCTAACAATGGGTCTGATGTTCAATTGGACTGAAACTGGGGAAAGATTATCTCATTCTTATATCTGACTTCACAACAAAGGTTGTCTTTCAAATGCCATGTATGGTAGTGAGGGGAGCATAAAGAAGACGAGAATAATCAAATGGATGAAGCACAGTGCTTGGCACATAAGTGCTTAAGAAATGCTTGTTGACTTGTCTTGATCTATCTATATTTTCTATAGCTGTATGTCTAGAATAGATCATGAGACTACTTAATGGTAACTCCAGGGATTTCACATTTCTTAACAACATACTTAGAGTTATATTTATTATGATATGTAAGATAAGCCCTAAAATATTTTCTGTAATTGGCTTAATCATCTTTGAAAGGATATATATGTATATATACACACATATAATATATGTATGCATATATATCTCCTTTCAAAGATACTTGTCTTTCAGAGAGATTGCATTTTAAGAGTCTGACCTATACTTAGACTAAAAGAGTGGAAAAAAATATTCCACCTTGATGGAAATAAAAGCCCAACAGATGTCCAACAATTTTTCCATCACGTTCACTAAGTTTTGGAAAGGTCGTCATCTTTGGTGAGAGGGGGCATCTCTCCCCAGAGAAATCACAGTTTTTGGAAGTGATAGAGATATTTAAAAAATGAAATCCTTATTATGTAAATTGGAGTAAGTAAATTTTTGAGTGTCAGGTGTATTTTTAATAATGGGTAACCATTGAAAGCAATGGAAAAGTTAATGTTTATCCCATTATAATAAATCTTTCATGGTCTGTCTTGCACATCATGACAAAAACAGAGCCTGAAGCACTCTATAAGAAGTGGGAAAACCCCAGAGGTACCACTGAGGGCTCTGATGATCCAGACCAGATGCAGAGTAAAGAGGAACACTCATGAGTGCAGATGAGAGACTGAGTTCTCCTAGATAGGGCAGGCTCATAGAGAAGAAAAGGGATGTGCTTACAAGGGGCGATGGGAGACTTGAATCTTAATGCAAGATTTAGAAAAATTAAATTGAGGAGACTTTTCTTATTTCTAGACCTCTTTCTCACATTGAACTCATTGTATATGGTCAGAGATTTAGAGCCATGAGGGATCACAGTGACCATCTATCGAGTTCACCCTTTCATTTTACCAAAGAAGAAACTGAGACCTGAGGAAGTGAAGTGACTTGCCCAAGGTCACAGAGATGGTAAACATCAGCGTTGGTCTTCAGACCCTAGATATCATAGATAAATCAATGGCAGAGTCCAAATGCAATTTTACTAGAGATCCCTCATGAGCATCAGTGACTAGGATGAACATCTTATTTTTAAATGTGGACCTACAGTCACAATCAATGCTTTCTTAATCATTATTAAACACTAGGCTTGAAAAACCTTTATATAATATCTAATCTTATTAGGATATTAGGATAGTGTCCCCAAGCCAGCCTGAAGCTCCTTAGCTATTTATTTGGGTGTACTGTTTACACTTAATAAAACAACCATACTATATTTGTTGTCATTCAGTCATTTCAGTTGTGCCCGACTCTTTGGGACCCCATTTAGGGTTTTCTTGGCAAAGATATTGGAGTGCTTTGCTATTTCCTTCTCCAGCTTGTTTTACAGAGGAGGAAATTGAGGCAGAGTTAAGTGATTTGCCCAGGGTCACCCAGCTAACAAGTATCTGAAGCCACATTTGAACTCAGGAAGATGAGTCTTCCTGACTCCAGGCCCTGACTGTACCCACTGCGCCACCTGGTTGCCATATTTGGGGCCTTCCTCTATGATATGGAGTAGTCTGTACCTGTGATATGCCACAAGATGCTTTGTGCTCTAAGAGTCTATTCATGTGTTAGGTTATGTGTCTATTGTGAGGCAGCTGAGGGGCAGGTATGTTTTTGGTGAGCATGTCCTGGACTGGTGGGCAATTTCTTCATCTATGTAATCTGTAATAATCTCCAAATACTTATTTATTGAGGAGTTTCTTCTTGGGACCCTTCTGACCCATCACAGGGGAGAATAAGCTCAGAGACTAGGATGGTTGCCATTCCAAGGGAGAGGAGATAGAGATTGGAAGTGTGATTTCACTATATATGGAATACTCTGGTGAGGAAACTCCCCCTACCAATGTGTGATGGCACCTGTCCTGCAATTTATAATCTCAGAAGTTTCCTAGAGCCCTGAGAGGTTAGGGGACTTACCCAAGGTCACAGAGAAAAATATGTGTCAGGAGTGGGCCAAGGCTAGCTATCTTTAAACTAGGCCACATTACTTATGTCTTCTAGGGCCATGCATTAACCCCTATATTACTAAGAATGGAGAAATAGTGTGACAGAGTGGGTAGAGGACCAGTCTTTAAATCAGGATGGTCTGGGTTCAAATCCTGCCTCAGACAAGGCATACAACTAGCTCTGTGACCCTGGGTAGGTCACTTATTGTCTCATAACTCTCTAAGGTCTATGAGGTTGACATCTTGATGAGTTGAGAGTTCCCTACACGGATAGGTCCAAACAAAAGAAAAGGCAATATCCTAACTCATCCCCCGCCCAATTCCTAAAGAATAACTTTGTAAAAGTTAAATGTGTAAGTTCTTTAAGGGATGGAATTATTTTACCTTTGTATCTTTAGCACCTGTCAGAGTACCTTGTACATAACAGGTACTTAATATCTCTTAAATTGAATTGAGTTAAAAGAGCTTACTGCCACCTCTAAAAATGCCCACACCCAGCACCCTATCCACTTTCAGTTTTGGAAGTGGAAGCCCTGAAACCCTACAGGGCCTACATGATCCATAGTTACACTCATGCCTTGGTACCCCACTTCTTCCAAAGCTGCTGATGTGTAGGACAGAATGGGAAGGTGGAAACACAGTCAATTGAGTCTGAAGGAGGACGTGTTCCAATTGAGGGCTCTCCTTGAGAAGCCCAGGGTGAAATACAGGCCCAGGCATTACCTTGAACTTTGTGTTCATGGTCGTCCTGGAGGACAGCAATGGCAACAGAATGGTTGTTTTCCATCTCTAACAAGGTAGCCTCATGGGTGGCTGAGATATCTTCTACCTGGAAAAAAGAGCAGCAAGCACAAGCATCAGGGAGCTTCAGAGAGCAGAGAATAGGCTTTCATCAATGTCATTGCCAGCTGAGAAATCATGGACTCAGAGAGATAAACAGAGGAGCCGGAGAACTCCCATCCTGCTTCTCATTCTGACAAACCACTGTGGCCTTGGTCAAGTTGCCTGGACTCCCATGTTCCCAGTTTTCTCACCCATAAAATGAGTTGGACTAGAGGGCTGCTGGGGTCCCTTCTGGAGCTTCATCTGGCATCCCAGTCCAACACCCTCATTTTTACTATTTGGTCACAAATGAAACATCAATGATCAGTGGCTGAAAGCATCATGTATGAATGTGTTAACACATGGAGAATGCAGACCAACTGTCTTCTAGCTCAGTGAAGGATCAAACACACTGAAGGAAGAGGGATGGAATTGGTGCTGGTGTGGCAGTCCTAGGAGGAGGAATAAGTCCTCTATAAATATGACTTGCTGCTATCATTAGAAGAGGCAACTACTTAGGTGGTACAGTGGTTAGAGTTTTGGACTGAACTCAAGAAGATTTGAGTTCAAATGCAGCCTCAGTTACCTACTGGCCATGTGACCATGGGCATGTCACTTACTTTGTCTGCCTGTCTCATCTATAAAAAAACCTGGGATAATAATAGTATTTACCTCACAGGGCTCTATGTGAGGATACAATGATAAGAATAAATTATAAAGTGTTTTGCAAACCTTGAAGCATTTGCAAATGCTAGATTATTATTATATAATTGCCTAGTCATTTATCCCAAAATGCCAGAGATAAGCTGGAGTTTTGTGGACATATGATGGCACATGAGCTAGCAGCAAAAAAGAGTCAGCCATCTCAGGGCAATGCTATCTGTCTTTTAGGTGTCTAGCCCTTTGAAAAGGTGTTACGCATTATAATTCTGTCAATGACAGATGGAACCCCCAATGCACAAAACAAGGAAGACCTGTAATAGCTCACATGAATTATGGGTAGAAACGTGGCACAGATCATAAGATTCTACATCTGGAGCTTTCTGAAAGAGACCTCTGGGCATTTCATTTAGTCCAATACTCTCTTCTTATAAACAAGAAAACTGAGGCCCAAGGGAGGCTTACTTACAGGGAGTAAGCATCAGTGGTGGAATTTGAACCCAGATCTTCTAACTCTAGGGTGACTGTACTATATGTGCCCCCAATAGTCATTAATCCCTTCCAAGATGTCATGTGCACTTGACCTCTCTCGATTTAATTAACCACATCACAGCTTCTTTATTTCACATATATCCTGCTGATTGAGAGGTATATGGGACATAGAAGTTACAATAGTTTATTGTTTTCCAACATCTAAATGAATGAGCAAGTCTGCCTCCTTACTTGTGTGTGGGACATTGGAATTTTTCATGCTTTTACTTGCACTGGTCTGTTCCTCTCCATTCCCACTGCTACTTCTCTCATTCCCTTCTCGCTTGGGGCCCTGATGGGGACCACCAAAATGATTGGTTTCCCACATTCTGTCTCTTTCTCTTCCAATCCATCCTGCACGTAATGGTTGCCAGATTAATCATCCTAATTCATAGTTCTAAACACAACATTTGCTCCTTGAAAATATCCTTTAAACAGCTCCCTACTGTTTAACAAATCAAGTCCTGACTCTGGCACTGGCAATGCAGTGTAGTGGGAAGAATTCTGGATTTGGAGTCATGATCCGAGTTCAAATGCTGACCCTGCCCTGCCATTTACTATCTGTGGGACCTTGGCAAAGCAACTTAAGCCTCTCTTGATCTCAGTTTCTTTATAAAATGAATGAATGGGACTAGGTGATCCCTGAGGTCCTTTCTGGTTCTAAACCTTTGAGCCTTCAGTAATGGGGTTCCAGCCTACCTTTCCAGCCAAAGGAACCCGCTTTGTAGATTTTATTTTCAAGACAAAGTGGACTGTTTCCCTCTTCGTTCCTTATTCCTTCTTTACTGCACATTTCACAACATTTCCCCAACACCAAATTTAAGCATCTTATTCCTACCTATCTTTCAAGGACCAGCTCAAATGATAGCTTCCCCATGAAGCCTTCCTTGATTTCCCTGACCCGCCCCAGCCAGAATCATTCTCCTTCCTTTCAAATTCCCAGGCACTCTGTACCTTTCTTGCACATTTGGTTTCTATTTTGTATTAGAGGTATAGCAAGCATGCAGGTAAGCCCATCCATCCCTCCTCACTTGGGTTAAGCACTTCCCTCCACTCTCATGCATGGGGGATTCCTAGAGTGTGTGTGCAAGAAAGGATCTGCTTCTGGATATGATGGGACACATGGACTGTGGAGGAGAGATGATGGATAGGTCAAACCAGCACGCTGCACACAGGACCTGGAGAGACAGCCCTAAAGAGGGAATCACCTGTTAGCCAGGGCCAGAAAGGGATACTCTGACAACAAAAGGGGGACAATGGGGCGGAGCCAAAGTTCCAACCTTGGCTTTGCTACTGTCACACCAGATTCATTAGCTCCCCCCCGCCCAGACTATAGATCCTGTTATTGTATCTTTGAGAGGCTCAAGAATCTTGAAGTGACAGTTTAACAGCTGTAGTGAGGTTGAATTGGCCTATGGAGGCCATCCCATGGAACATGCTCAGAGCTGCCATTCATAGTTCTAGGATGAGCTGACTCAGCTAAAGGGCTTTCACTTTCAGATGAGGGAGCTTCCCTTTAATTAGTGACTGTGCGGATGGAATGGCTGATGGATGACTCAGTGGGTGCACACAAAAGGGAGCAAATGCTCTGCCCTCCTCAGCCTCTCCCTTTGCATCTGGCTGCCAGTCATGCCACGAGCTACATCCAAAGAAGGGGATGGGGAGAAAGGCTGGCTTGCTCTAGTGGCTACAGCGGCTAGAGTCCAGCCTCCACTCCATGCAAGTGTGAGCACATGGCATCTGGGGCAAATATCTTGCCTAAACAAACCTGATTCTGGGTTGGGGCTGTCTCTTTTGTTTATTTTATGTTAGTTATTTTAGAATTTATGCTGAGATAGCTTGGAGGCAACATTGTGAGTTCTAGCGGTCTGGAGGTCTTGAGTGCCATCAGGTCCCAGCTGAATGTTAGCCCTGGGGGGTTACTATTATTACACAGGACTTGCCAGCAAGAAAGTGACTGTCCCAAACCTGGACATTTTACCACCAGACATGTACTGTTAGTGATTTGGACAGTGCAAAGATGAAGCAAAACGTAAAACACCTAATCAGCATTCCTGTAAGCTGCTTTGTGTTCTGACGAGGTGTAATTATCAGCCTCTCAGCAGATGTAACAGGAGTTAAAAGTTGTTACTGAATCCTATATTAAGTTGTTCTATTAATGTATGCTGTGAGTCTTTGGTGCCTAGCTTGCTTTCTTTCGTGTGCAGGAATAAATTACCTGCCTGCTCCAACTTGATTAATATGATACACTAGATACCTTTTTACTCCCTGTTCTTTGAGAAACCCTAGATGTAAGCCATAACCTAAACTAAAATAAATCTGTCTCAGGGGTGCCAGAACTGGGGTTTAACAAGCCGAAGAAAGTGAGAAAAGGAAACCGAAACTCTCTCATTAGAAGCAGGGGCCCAGGACTGAACCCAGTCCAAACTCCATGCTTTGGTACATGGTGTGGGCTCAGCATTCTATAAGGAATCATTTGTAAAGAGACTGTTATTCTTTCCTGGTTGGAGATAAACTGAGGTACAGTGAAAAAGGATAAAAAGGACTTCTTTGTTTAGAGAACTGGTTTAGCTTTTTTCTTGCAAAGAGAAAGAGAATTCTTGAGAAGTGACTAGAGAGATACCTGAATGGTGGGAATATTGTTACATAAGGGAGAAGTCAAGAATTGTAGTGATGGATGAAGGAGACTTTGGCTCTGGGCTTTCTCATAGCTTAAGTGATATAAATGATACTTTTATGTTATTGGTTACAAAGTTAATAAATTATATGGCCAGTAACTTTTAATAATTTATAAAGCTTAAGAGATAGTGGTTTCGTTCAATAGAAACATAGGCATGTGCTAAAATAAAATGAATGATTTCTTCACTAGTAATTCTAAACTAGTAATTGAGCCATGAGTACAGCAGGGAATCCTGTGCAACAAGGGACCACTCGGACATATTTTTTTTTTTTGGCAGGTTCTAGGAGTCATGTTGACTATATAAATCCTGAAGGAAGATGCAACCTATCAGTGGGGAGGTGTCTTTTTATTTTGTTTTGGATTTTAGGATACTGTCTGAAAATAGGAGAGTTTTTATGACAGCTAAAGGGCTCAGGTATGAACCCTTTCTGTGTGCGTATGTGTGTGCTTTAATTTGTCCTTATCTGATGTCTTCTTACTATGATTATTTTCAAGAAAACGGAATGCCCATTTGGGGGCAATAAAACAAGGCAGATACTGATGTTTCCAAGGTTTCCCTAGGTAGGTGCATGAGGCAGAGAGATTTTGTGAGAGACCCTCCTAAACTGTTCCCAGGTCTGTTGTGTCAGGGGTTAGGGCTTAACTGATAAAAGGGTTATGTTATTATTTGGCTATGCGTATTATCTCTGCTTTTTTGTTATAAGCTCCTTCAGGGAAGTAACCATTCTAATGTCATATTCTCCATATTAGATCACAAGCTTCTTAAGGTCAGAAAGCATGTTCATTTCATATGGTTAAAATGTGATTGTAATCATAAGCTCCTTGAAGATAGAGAGGGAGGGAGAAAAAAGGAGAGAAAGAAAGGAAGAAGAGAGAGGGGGTGAAAATGGGAGAGAGAAAGAAAGAGAAAGAGAAAAGGGGGAGAGTGAAAGATGGAGGGAGACAGAGAGAGAAAAGGAGGGAAGGTGAGAGGGAAAGGGAGAGGGAAGGGGAGAAGGAGAGAGGGGGAGAGAGAAAGAGAGAGGGAGAGAGAGAGAGAGAGAGAGAGAGAGAGAGAGAGAGAGAGAGAGAGAGAGAGAGAGAGAGAGAGAGAGAGAGAGAGAGAGAGAGAGAGAATTTATTAGGCACATGTGCCA